ATCCGGACGTTTTCTCACCAAACCGTTCCAGATCTGAGAGCAGACCCATCAACTATCTTCTCCGTTCGCCCGCCGCACGGCACACAAAATCACCCGCTCGATCTTCGGTCACTCGGCGTCTGTGCTCTGAAGTCTGAAATCCTAAATCGCTCGAAATTTTGAAATCGCAAATTATCTCGCTAGTAGGTCGTTCCTGCTCCCGCATACTCTTCACCTGGCATGTCGTCGTGACGCTCGTCTTCTCGTTCGCCACCCAAATCCTCTCGTAAAGGCTGCAACTCAGGTTCATAATTTTCTTTTCTGTCTTTGAATCTCTCATTCTTCCTTGGGCCTGTAAGTTGTAATTCATTGTTCGGGTTGCACCCACCCAATCTAAGCTTATTTTTTTTTTTTTTTTTTGGTTAATTTTTATGCCTATGATTTGAGTTAGACGGGTGTGGCTTATGGGTTTGTTATCATTGTACATTTATTCCTAACCCAGTGGCTTGTTAAGGGAGACAAAATCCACCATGACTAAGGCTTCCGGGCTGGGTGGTCGATCCTAGTATTGGGTCGTGAAGACATGGAGCCTATCGAAGACCTCAGTGGCAGGTCGATCAAACTCGCTACGGATAGCTTGAGCAGGTTAACGAATTTATTCGATTTGGTTTTGTGCTATTTGTGCTTCTGACCTCAGTGGCAGGTCGATCAAACTCGTTACGGATAGCCCGAGCAGGTTAATAGATTTATTCGATTTGGTCTTGTGCTATTTGTACTTCTGACCTCAATGGCAGGCCGATTAAACTCGCTACGGATAGCTCGAGCAGGTTAACAAATTTATTCGATTTGGTTTTGTGCTATTTGTGCTTCTGACCTCAGTGGCAGGTCGATCAAACTTGTTACTGATAGCCCGAGCAGGTTAACGGATTTATTCGATTTGGTTTTTGCTATTTGTGCTTCTGACCACAGTGGTCGGTCGATCAAACTCGCTACGGATAGCTCGAGCAGGTTAACGGATTTATTTGATTTGGTTTTGCGGTATCTATGCTTTGTACCTCAGTGGCAGGTCGACCAGGTTCATTATGAAAAGCTTGAGCATGTTAATGGTTTATATGATTTGGTTTTGCTGTATTTGTGATCTCGATCCCAGTGGCGGGAGTTTATTATGGATAATTTGAGCAGACGGATGGTTTTATTTGGTTTGGTTTTGCTGTATTTGTGATTTCGATCCCAGTGGCCGGAGTTTATTATGAATAATTTGAGCAGATGGATGGTTTTATTTGGTTTGGTTATGTTGTATTTGTGATTTTGATCCCAGTAGCTGGTTGATTGCGTTTTATCTTGATTTTGTCGAATTGATTTTTCGACTTCAAAGGCAGGGAGATGGGATTCATTCCGTCACGAGCAGGTTGATTGCGTTTTATCTTGGTTCTGTCGAATTGATTTTTTGACTTTAAAGGCAGGGAGATGGGATTCATTCCGTCACGAGCAGGAATATACAACAAGCTTGAATTTTAACTTTTGAACTGAGGGGCGATAGGACGAGGTGGTATAAGAGAGCTCGAACATGGTGATCGAAACACAACAGGCATAAGTTCAAATTTTCAAATTCAAGACTTCAGGGAGTGGTCATTCAGTTCTTGTTTGTCGACCTCATCAGCGGTCTCGATTCTCGGTTTTCGACCTCAACTGTCTCGATTCTCGGTTTTCGACCCCAGCGGTCTCGATTCTCGGTTTTTGACCTCAACGGTCTCTCGATTCTCAGTTTTTGACCTCAGCGGTCTCGACTCTCGATTTTCGACCTCAACGGTCTCGACTCTCGATTTTCGACCTCAACGGTCTCGATTCTCGGTTTTTGACCTCAACGGTCTCTCGATTCTCAGTTTTTGACCTCAGTGGTCTCGACTCTCGGTTTTCGACCTCAACAGTCTCTCAATTCTCGTTTTTTTACCTCAGCAGTCTCGACTCTCGGTTTTTGAACTCAAAGGTCTCGACTCTTGATTATTGACCTCAGTGGTCTCGACTCTCGGTTTTCGACCTCAGCAGTCTCGACTCTCAGTTTTCGACCTCAGCAGTCTCGACTCTCGGTTTTCGACCTCAACGGTCTCGACTCTCGGTTTTCGACCTCAACGGTCTCTGGATTCTCGGTTTTTGACCTCAGCGGTCTCGACTCTCGGTTTTTTACTTCAGCGGTCTCGACTCTTGGTTTTCGACCTCGACGGTCTCTCGATTCTCGGTTTTTTACCTCAGGGGTCTCGACTCTCGGTTTTCGACCCCAGCGGTCTCGACTCTCGGTTTTCGACCTCAACGGTCTCTCGATTCTCGGTTTTCGACCTCAACGGTCTCAACTCTCAGTTTTCGACCTCAGTGGTCTCGACTCTCAGTTTTCGACCCCAGCGGTCTCGATTCTCGATTTTCGACCTCAACGGTCTCTCGACTCTCGGTTTTCGACCCCAGCGGTCTCGACTCTCGATTTTCGACCTCAACGGTCTCTCGATTCTCGATGTTCGACCTCAACAACAGATCATGCAGTTTTCGACCTCAATTGACGTTCGCTTCCGGGGTTCGACCTCAGTGACAAGTCATTAGGTTCTTGTCCTTATTGACAAATCTTTCGGTTTTCGACCCCGACGTCAGATCATTCGATTTACGACCTTCGTGGTCTTTCGGTTTTCGATATTGAAATCTCAAAGCTCATTTGGAGGATATTTCAGTGGTTATTCAATGGTCATTCGACTTTCGATCTTAGTGGCAAGTTGAAGAAAACGGCTCGAAGAGGCATTTCACTCTTGGATCGAGTAATGCTTACTCGACCAGAGTGGGGGGGACTAGATGATATATGATATTATACTACACCCTGTTTAATGGAGATAACGAAAATATATTGGAAGATAAGTCCACGTATGGACTAAGCATCACGATATGGGCCAAGCCCAACTTGAGCCCACAAAGGTACACTCCCCCTATAAAAGGGGGGCTAAGATACCTCATTCTCTCATTCTATCATCATTTCATTACTACACTCTCTCTCTCTCTCGATCTGAGCACTGACTTAGGCATCGGAGGCCCGACGCCGGGGCCACCCCCGGCGTTGGGTTCTGCAGGTGCGGAGGCCGTTCGAGTTGAAGGAGCCCGGGTAAAATCTATTACCTTCAGTAATATTGTCGGAGTTCGATATTTGAATAACTATAATAAGGTAAGATATAATACCTTATGCATTTTATTAATTATTTATTGCATTATCATTTGATATAGTGTACTTCATATATTGCACTATTTAATTTATTTAATTTATTTTCTTCTTTTTTTATTCAACAGGCCAATACTAAGAGGCTAAGAGCAAAAGTAATGAAAGTTGAAAGATGTCAAATGACTAATCTACAATGTTTCTTTTATATATTTTAGTCTTTTAGTTGCTACTTCTAGACTTTGAGAAGTTTGTAATGGTGTTTTATTGGACTCTTTTTTATTACTATTGTTATGTGTGAGTAGCCAAAACTTTTTACTTTTATCTATCAACCTAGTGTGAAGTGTGATGTAAATACTTATAAACTTGTATTTTGGGACAAGTTCTCTCTCTCTCTTTTTTCCCTTATGCATTTTAGTTTTTTTTTTTTTTTTTGGGTAAAGTTATTAAAGGTATGTTTGGTAAACCAATTAAGCTAGCTTATAGCTTATTTGGTAAGCTTATAAGCTTCCTATTTAAAATAAGTCTCGTTTGGTAGAACGAACTTTTTTAAAAAGCTCGAGCTTATTTCATAAACTACTTTAGGTAGCTTTTCAAATAAACTAGTTGAATTTTTTATTTCAGCTAGCTTATCAGCTAATTTACCAACCACCTTTTATCATATAAGCTAGTTTTTCAGCTATAAATCATAAGCTATAAGCTCAAAAATTACATATAAACTATAAGCTAGCTTATCAGTTATCAGCTAGCTTATCAGCTAGTTTTACCAAACATAGCCTAAGTAATATCTATTGTTATTTGTTTTTGTGTTTTTTCTTTGATCATTTCTTCAGTAAAAACCTATCCAAACTGAAAAAAATGGATAAATTTGCAGTTTGAAACCGAACCAAACCGTAATTTTCGATACAGTTTTCAATTTTAATGTTGGACGAACCCATAAATTCGGTTAACTGAATTTTTGGTCAGTTCAGTTCGGTTTTGACCGATTGTGAACCGAATGTGCAGCCCTACGCATCACTTTTCATGAAATAAGGAAACAAGAAATAATAAAACAATCACACAATAAGATTGGGACATTTTTCATCATCGGCAAAAAAGAGCACGCTCGGGAAAAAGCCCATTTGAGCTTTTCTCACCCTTTCCTTCTTGAAAAGCATCGAAAAAAAAAAACGTACAACAATTAATGCAGCTAGTACACACACAAAATCCCTAGGCATAAACCGATCCACAAGACAAAGCCATCAAAAGAAACGCCGCTTGTTCTTCCTCTCCCAGTTTCCTTCTCCTGTGAGTGTTCGATCTCGGTCTCTGCAGAGCCACGTCCCCGCCGAAAGCCCACAATTTCCTGTTAAATGAATCCCTAATCTTCAGGGTACTATCCCCACTGCTGCCGGTACAACTGCTGCCGCTGCTAGTTGTGCTTTTGGGCGACTTCTTCATTTTCTTCTCGTCTTTAGCGACGCCCATTAGAGCCCTTCTCTTCTTCCTGCTCCTTATCCCACATGCGTTGCACAGAGACTGCAACACAGACGCATCAAAAAAACGAACTCAATCAGATCTCATCAAATCAAATCAGACAAACCACACAGCCACTTATTAAACAAAACAAAACGAAGTGAAAAGGAATACTAATTATTATTACCTTGGGTCCAGCCGGGCCGCCCCTCCATAGTGGTGTCTTTGAGGTGCCACAATCAACACAGGTCTTGACATTTGAGCCGTCCGATGAAGCCCTGTCTGGGGTCCGAGGTTGGCTGTTCATTTCTTCACACTCTGATCCCTGCTACGGAAAAAAGCAAAGCATAAATCAACAATCTTCGTCGGAGCTTTCTAATCAAGCTCAATTCAAAAAATCTTAGCCCGACCGTTGAGCCATAACAGATGAAATTGAAAACAGCAAGTCGTAATCACTTACTCTATCCATAGATCCATCCTCTGCAATCCGTTTTTCAAAGATCCGAAACAACCCCATCTCGGATTTCAGTGTAAATGAACTGAAAATCAAGAAATGCCGCCTGATAATCCACCTGATCAAGCCCAGCTACTTAGATCACGGCCTAAAACGAAGAACATCTGTTTGAAATCGACAAATGAGCACGGATGAAGGAGCCCATGACAGCAACTTAAGATTGACTAAGAACCCTAACCCGATATTTGATTTCAAGTGAGGAATGAAGTAAGCTGAACTAAAACAAAACCCTAACTCGCAGGTTTCTCTCTCTATATCCCACTAAATAGGCTCCCGTGAAGAAGGGTTCTACTGAGTGGCTGTGATTTAAGAGGAGAAATTTTGGGTGATATTTCTAGACGAAAACGGACGTGCCGCAATTTTAGAGAGAGGAAGTGAAAGATTTTGCTTTTGGGGGCGTTTTGAGGGAAACACAATTATTGAGGGGGTTATATATGAGCATACGAAAACCCTAAGGCGCGCGGGAGTGCGAAAAGACGAGAAAGGGCCTCCACGTCTCAAGAATTTGACCCCGCCAAATTGTTGGGAGACAGTTTTCAAGGGCGTTTTTGGGTAATGCATTTGGTGGTGCGTTTTGATGTTTGCCGCCATTTGGAAATAACTTTTCATGTGGGTTTTCTTTATGATTTGGGGCGAGGTTTTCAAATGGAAGTGTTTGAAAAAAAATTACCAGTTTGAATATTGTGCTTTTATGAGTCAATAATGTGATTTGGAAATGAGTTGGTTTGTTGTTCGAGAATCTATTATAGGGAAATCTATTTGGGATTTGTATATGTTTAGACATATTTGTTGGTCGGGGTTAAGTTAATAATTTTTATCTTGTGGTCCAAGATTGTACTATAAAGATTTTGTGCATAAATATTCGTTTAGACCAGTGTTTTAAAATGCGTATTGTCAATCGCGTCGTGGTTTGGTCATTATATTGCGTAGCGTAAATAGCATAGCGCATTGTGTAAACTATTCGAGCACTTCACTTTTAATGCCAAAAACAATAATATATATTATCGTACAAGTGTTGACATCTGAGCTAACCGAAAAGAGACCAAATGGAGACGGCCCGAAAAGCCGGATCGGGAACTCGGCCCTACATGCAAGTGCCGAACTAATTCCGAACATATGCGACTGACGCATCCGTATGACGCCATTCTCGAGGTCGGCACATGTACTACTCAAGCGGAGATGCCGAAGTCACCAAATACCGACCTGAAGGGGGAACCCCGAGGGTCTATGAAAGACATTTCACTCGGGATCGACCTGGAAGTCCAGTATGGCCACCTCAGAGACGAGCGCAGGGCTCGATAATAATATAATACTGCCACTTGGAGGGTAATCATTGGTGATTGGACATGCCGTCATAGACTGGCATCCTACAGCATCTAGCCCAGCCAAAAAGTCTGCCAACATTAAATGCCCCCGTGTGTGCAATAAATGTCTGACAGGCAATGATTGAGAAAACCTCAAATCGCATTGAATAACTGTCAGGGAGGCGTCGAACTGCTCTGCAAAACTATTGTGCCACAAGACTGGTGAACAGTACCTGAACAATACTACATTTAAGATACTATAAATAGGAACCCACTTCATTTATTTTGGGTTGTTGAATCCACAACTGCTTTGCCTTCTCTCTACTTTCTCTCTTAAGAATTCTGTAATAAACTCTTGTAATTACCTCAAGTACAACTCAAATACCGACCTCACTCGTAGAGAAAGACCTCGTAATTACGAAATAAATTCCATTTTCCGCAGTACTTTTTCCATCATTATCATTTTCTACTTTCAATATCTCTTATTTTAACCGTTGATCGAATTCGTCCATCAACAACAAGTAAATAAATAATTAAAATAGTCTTAAACCTTAAACTTGGACATTAAATATAAAAAACAACATTCAAATACTGCTTCATACAAACAACCCATATTGCATTCAATAGTTTTCTCCCAGGCTACTTTAAATCCATATTTCCAGTCGATATCTCTATTTGTCGACATTTAAACTGAAAATAGAAAAAAAAAAAAACATAATTAACACAAAATCATGTTTGTTCACAAATCACAGCAATAATTGCATATTTGATAGTAATCACAAGTCATAATATAACACAACAATAATCTCTTTACTCTTCAATTATATTTGGATCCCATTTTCTCAGCCTTAATGATAAACAACAATAAAAAAATATTATTTGACCCATTTTTATAAATAAATAAAAAAAAAACAGTGGTTAATGGCAAGGTTAATTAAAAACAGAGGTTAGTTAAAAACGTTCATGTGCAGCCTCTATAAATTTAATAAATAATCATTACAATTATACAAAAAATCAAAATAATTAAGTGAACAAAGAAGAGGCCCGAATTCAATTTCAATTTCATAATCTCCAGTGAAGAACAAAATGTTACCTTTGGAGTCGACTGAGGAGCAGGGGATGTCGGCTAAAGAGAGCCGAGGTGCCGGGGATGTAGGATGGAGAGAGCCGAGGAGCAGGGAATTGGAGTGCGCGAGATGCGAGATATTGTGAGACTGTGAAAGTGAGAAGCAAGTTGGTTGTGAGGAGACTGAGGCGGCGGAGATCCTACTCTCGTCGGGCTATGTCGCTGTGTAGGCGTGGAGCCGTGGAGGTTGCGGTGGAGGGTCTGGAGGTTGCGGTGGTGTAACTAGTGAGAAGATGAAGAAGTGAAAATGTGAAATGAGCGTTTCGTGACTGAACCCCTAGAGTTGCCTTCGATTTTGTTTTTTGTTTTTTTTTTTTTTTTTTT